ATATGTTCAGAGCTAGACCTTAGATGCTCTTTCAGTCATTTAAAGTTTCATATAGAGAAGGGTGGGCCTGTTCCCGACTAAAAGTTTATAAAGTTTCATCAACTTTATACTGAGTTGCAAGGCACTGGAGATCTTTAAGGGTCTGTCTAAAATTACCAACACAGGATGTTTCTACTATGCTTACTTATTTTTCTTTTGATAGACTTGAGAGAACAACTCTTACTTTGAGGTTCTTCTTATTTTACACCAGATCACAATAGCTACTTTAAAGTCTTTGCATATTTAGTTGACTCATAGGAAAACATAACATTTCTAGGGCTGTAAAATATTTATTTATATTTCCATATCAAAACTATCATAAGAATGAAAGAAAATATATAACTAACCCCTCAAGATTGTTGTTGATGTTAGCCACCATAATAAATACTAATAGATACAGCAGTTAAACTAAATGATGCATTGCACCAGACAAATCTGCTGCACAATACCTCTTTAATGTGTTGAAGAGTAAAACTCTTAGTTTGAGTACTAAAGTGCACCTGGTTCAAGCTATGCATTGCATTTTCAATAGCATCACATGCATGTGAAATTTGACAATGAATAAACAAGACTGGAAATGAATTGATATATTTGAGTTATAGTGTTGGAGAAGAATATTAAAAGTGCCATAGACTTCCAGGAAAACAAATAAATCCATGTTGGAAGAAATACAGCCAGAATGCACCTTTGAAGCCATGATAGCCAGACTTAGTCCCTTATACTTTAGACATGTTATCAGGAGGGACTAGTCCCAAGAGAATGACATCATGTTTTGGTAAAGTGGACAGTCACCAAAAATGAAGACATTCCCCAGTGAGACTGCTTGATACAAGGATGGAAACAATGGCCTCAAATATAACAATTGTAAGATAGTAGAAGACCCAGCAGTTTCTTTCTCTTGTGTATAGGTTCACTGTGAATAGGAAATAACTGGACATCACCATACAACAACAACAAGCCTAGATTAAGCCATGCAAGAGATCCAAGCACTAAAAAATCTGTGGTGTCCACACTGCTACTTGTTGTAGTTGTTAGGTGCCATCAAGTTGGTACCAACTCATAGCAACCCTATGCACAACAGAAAGAAACAGTGCCCAGTCCTGGGCCAACCTCACAATTGTTGCCACACTTGAGCCCATTATGCTACTACATTGCCAATACATTTTGCTGGAGGAATTCCTCTTTTTCTCTGACCCTCCACTTTACCAAACATGATATCCTTCTCCAGAGACTG